TAGTTCCAGCAAATCATTATCTACTTTGAAGAAGCTCCCAGGGAAAATATATGAAGCCTGGTGCAGGACCACAAAACAGATAATGATTTGCTGGAACTATTCAGCGAGGATATATTGGCCTCTGTCTTTCGAGTCAATTTATAAGCAATCTGTGAAGTACTGCAACTTTCAGTACTTCATAAATATTGTGTCTACTAATTAATTACTAATTACTGGTGTGAGGTGTCTTCTGAAGTGGTTGCCTGTAGGGTGTATGCTTAGTACGATGGGAGACCTGGTTGTGGTGCAGTCCTGTTCGCTGTGGATGATGGGACAGGTCCGAGAAGCTGAGTTTAGCGCGGCACCATCTTGTTTTGCAACAACTGGAAAATGAGCTGGCGTCGCGCCACCCCAGCCTTTTCCACCCCCCCCCCCTCTCCCACGCCCTGGCAAGCCCCAAATTTGTAGCGAACACGACTGTAGTTCCACACTCAATTTTCTCTAGATTTTTTTTTGTGCAGTAACTAAGAACCGGCTTTATTCCACTATTACTATTTGGGAAAGTCAAAAAGTTTTTCGTAGAATGTTCGCCTATAAGGCTTATTCAGTGCCCTTACCAGTTACATGATACCAGTCGAATCGCCCGGCTAACGCCGAGCTTTCCTCCTAGCTCGGCTTCGCCAGGCGCGCTCCATAATTTTAACGGATTTTTCAATAGTGCGCTGTAGTGATCGGATCGTAACAGATAGAGCAAGGCTTAGGATTCTGCACTACTTAGCACACGCTCTTACTTGCAGCAGGGGTGTGGTCCGCGCCATAACGCCCATACAATACATAAATCTGTAGAATAGATACAATGTGTAGTCGGCCAATACAGCGCAATGTGAATCGCTCAGTAAAGAACAGATTTCGTTCCCATCACCTGCACCGAAATGCCTACCGATGGAATGTTTCCCTTTTCAATTAGCATGCAATCCAATCGCTGAAGTATAATTATTAGTAGGTACTATACTCCCTTGTTATTCGTTCTCATCAGTAATTGAAAGTTCAAAAGTTAAAAAAAGCTGTTGAACGCATGAAGTGCCACTATTCAGGTTTTTCGGTTCTCCTCGAGTTTTCCTGAAGTTCCTGTTTCAGGCGAACTAATATATACCCCCCCCCCCACTTCCTCGTCGACATCCACATTATATAGTAGGATAGTGGGATGAGTTCATTTTCTAGTGCTATCAGAGAAGTGATGGCTAAAGGAAAGTTTGCACACTGAGCCTTCAATACTTGGCAGTATAGTGATAAGAAATGCAATGAGAATGGCCCCTTTTTTATCAATTGATAAGATTGCCTGTCACCCGTCATCAATGTCCCTATCACTAAAACTCTATAATTTGGTAGTGTAAAGGCTCCAGCAATTTGACTGAACAACAATGGCAACGTTCCTTATCAGCCCCTATCAGCTGTTATCACCTCCTGTCACCTGCCGTCGATGTCCCCATCTCCCACTCTATATCATTTTCTGAAATCAACGCCTAGCTGATGCTGTGTCCCGCGTCATTAGTATGGTGACCTTCCCATTCTAACTCATCAAATCCTATCAGCTGATACCACTCCCTGTCACTGCTGTGTCGGAGGAAGTCTGATAAAGCTTGATACTGCGCATCTCTCTTAGAGATCGTATTTAAGAGAGGTGAGCGGTAGGGTTGAGTTTAGTTTTGTGTGTGGTATACTCGCCAGATAAACTTTCTGTGCGTATCGTCTCATTCGACACTCCCGGAGACAACCCGGAAGCCAGGGATCCAACAGTCACCCATCAATAACGTTCCTGTCCCACGCCCATATCACTTGGAACCAATGTCCTACTGTTGCTGTGACCCGCGCTATGGACTCGGTGCCCCTCCCGTTCTGACGCCTTTTTTCAGATCTTATCAGCTGATATCACTCCCTGTCAGCATGCGTTATACTTTTTGCGAGCGGCGTAGCGTAGCGATACGCTTCCAGCGGTGTAAGCCAGTGCATTGCCAGGCAAAGGATAGTTGATCTAGTTCAACCAGCTCACCAGAGGCATTCTAGCGTCACCCAGCGGCACGCTAGCACACTCTGCGTGGCGTAAGGGCATGGTGAACTATAGGTATCCGATCTACTAACCTGACGTTTTCTCGAGCGTGTTCTCGCAGCGTTTCTTTCTACAGCGGCACCAGTTTCACGTAGCGCTTGCAGCGCGGAGTCGAGACTATGGGAGAGCTGGAAAGTGAAGAAACACACGATGTTTCGTAGTGAAGATGTGGCGCGTGTAGTGCACCCCATCTAGGGTCATCTACGTTCCACGACAATCCCCGTGAGTTGAGTGTTGAAACTGATGTTTTTGGGAAAAAATGAATGAATTTGAAATGAATTTTGAATGAAATGAAAATTTGAAAATGAATGAATGAATTTTTCAGAAAAATGAACGAAATTCATCATCGAAGCCACATCTCAGAAAAAAATTAAGGAAAACCAAACATAAAGGAAAGGCGAAGCAGGCCGAAGACGACCCAAAAACATCAGTTTCAACACTCAACTCACGGTATTGATCGTTGGGTACGGTAGTGCCCACTGATGTGGTGCACTACACGCGCCACATTTCACTACGAGAAATCGTTGTGTTTTGTACTCTCCAGCTCTCCCATAGTCTCTACTCCCTGCCGCTGCAAGCGCTAGTGAAACGCTGGTGCCGCTGGAGAAACGCTGGAGAAACGCTCGAGAAACGCTGGTGAAGCTAGATCGATACCTATGCTTCCCATGCCCTCGCCAGCGACAAGCGTTCGCGCTGGCGTACAGCTAGCGTAGACCAGCGTGCGCTGGTGAAGCCAGACCAATACCTAATCCTTCTGCCCAGCAATTGCCGCTGGCGTACGCTGGAAGCCGATTAACGCGCTAACCTGCGTAGCTTACGCTACGCTGCCGCAAAGTTATAAACGCACAGGCCTCTACCCATCACAATTAATTTCTTGTCCCATACCCCATATCTTTAGAAACGGACGTCAACCTGTTATTGTGCTCCCACTATGGACCCTCCCCTTCTAACGCCCTTATGAATCATAATTCAGTGGTATCGCCGTTCTGTCACACCAAAAAGTGTTCCCGTCCTGGTCGTTTATCCTCATTCTTGACTGTCACCCTATCTTCTGCGACGCGGGAGACGGTAAAGAGGCTCGTAATTTACCGCGCCGCCACGCGCGGCGATGGGCGCGGCGTTTTCATAATTCGTACCTGTAGAATAGACCCGCAACTTCATGTAGACCGTGTCAATCATAAACTTGTCAGTTACTGTGTTTTCGGTCGTTTTTGCATGTTGTCGGCGATCTGACTTACCTGGTTATCATTCGTCCTTGCAGGGAGACGCGCACGCCGACGAGGGTGTGCCGAGCACGCGGGGATCACGATGCCTTGTCCACATACCCCGAATTTCGTGCAGACGAAGAGATACCGCACCAGCCACCAAACAACAGAAACCCAAGCACACACCACCACACACACATACTGACAGACATACACTCCTTATCCCTGAGACAGAGTAGGCGTGGCATTTAAACATGGCACGGAACTAGTTACTCGTGGAATGTTCCAGTCTGAGACAACTGTCGTCTTGTTCTGGTTGGACCAGAGAACAAGCGACACAATTGTGATCAAAATGAAATTTCTCACCAGAAGCATAGGCACCTTCAGGTTAAGTTGAAACATGAGGCCACGCCTTCCCGATCTCAGGGATTTCGAGTATACTTAGCGGATTATATGTAGTAGGAAAACATTTGAGACCGTGCTATTTGGTCATCATCTGTCACTAAAATTGAGAAAACTTGTATGCGGGGGTTATTTGACATGACGATACAATTGTTTAACCTGCCTTTTTGAGATTGCCGCCACGACGCGCTAATTTTTTCAGCCTTAATAGGGATAAAGCCCCAGCCTTAGTGGAGGGCTAAATTGCGGTTCATCGGGAAATAAATGCCACTTTGCAATTAGGGTGTCAATAAACCCTGTCATGCAAGTTTTCATCGATTTTGCTAAAAAGGTGGTGGCTATTCAACGCCTATTGGCATGAAACGACCGGGACCAAAACTGATGTCACGTTCGTGATCAGGACACCGAGCATCTAATTGTTCAGCGAGAATTTTTTCTAAGTATTCGGAGCATTAACACATTGGCGACAAGGCGCCTTTTCGCGTGTCTGCCGCGTGGGACAAAGCAGTTTTTTCCCTGTTCTCGAAAGAATGCATAAATGCTAGGGGTCATCGCAAAAAAATTGAAAGTGTCGAATTCATTGAAAGCAAGTGGAGTCTTCGCTATTCTTGTTACTTTAGAGATAAACCGCTGAATCATGGGATATTCCGCCTCATTCACGTGGAGCGTGGGAACAAGGTCGCAAAAAAGGAATATTTTCGCGCCAGAGGTGGTAAATTGGATTCGATTCAGATCTGCTATTGTTGAAAGTTACCTTATCACATTAGCTATCTGCATGTGGAGCTTCAGTTCTATATATCCAAGAATTATCTTTTTTTCCTAGGAAATCACTTTCGTTTGTCTCCTCGGTAAAATACTCTCAATGACACAACTGCACGGTTTACAGCTACTGTATATTCTACAATGCCTTCATGGACATGCAGCTGTTGAAAATTCGAAACGTCTTCAAATTGGTTTTTTACCCATGCCGCATCCCAGCAGTGGGACGCAATGTCCCACGCGGCAAAAAAGGTGCGTCCCAGCAGTGGGACGCAATGTCGCCAACGTGTTAAGAGTGGAATAGTACCGAAGAACCTTAAAGTTGTGTCCGCTGCGGATGATTGTGTATGATCGGATTTGGCGCGCGCCAAACCCGTTTTTCACCAGTTATTAAGCGAGCAAGCGACAAGATGTATCATATCGTTCGTATCAGTCGTTTTCCACTAATTGTTGTCGCTTACACGCTCCAACAACTGGCAGGAAACGGGATTGGCGCCGCGCCAGACCCATCCCGCCAGCCACGTCCCAGCATCCGCAGCGAGCACAACTGTATGAAAAACGTTTCATTCATTAAAATAGGCAAGCTGGCTTTTGATTTTTTCAGACAAACTGCATCAAGTGACGCATAAGAAAGACGAAATGATACAAACGGCAAACGAGCTGGATCCATCTCAATGGACAGGTAAGTTACAGTCCTGCAGTTCAGTGTGCAGAGGTTAGGAATGGAATGGTTTATATCTAGGAAATCAGCGTGTTTTACATTTTGGTCCCATGGCTCAAAGGGATCCTTATTTCTACTACTACCCAAAAGGTTGGGATGTGCTTTATCCTGCTCGTTTCGGATTTTTTCCGTACCGTACCACGTAAGTATTCACTGTATTATATTTTTCCTATCATTTCTTTTTGGTTGTAAGGAATAATTAATTATTCGTTTGTATCTGGCTGTTTCCAGGGGGCAGTTGCGATGCATATCCCCTTAAGCTGATTTACATTGCGCCAGCGTTCTGAACGTAGGGTGTGTGAGCGCTTAAGCATACGCGGAGTTTTCGCGCGTTTTAAGCGACCGGGACAGTATGGATATCGATCTAAGGCCGCGTTCATAGCTTTCGACCATGAAGAAATGCAGAAATGAAGAAATGCGGAATCTGCGGAAATGACGAAAAGCATTGTATACATATCGATTTGAAGAAATGCAGAAATGCCGAAACTGCAGAAGTGCGGAATCTGCAGAAATGCCGAAATGAAATGCAGAAATGCGGAAACTGCAGAAGTGCGGAAAGTGCGGAATCTGCAGAAATGACGAAAAGCAACCGATACGTATCGATTTTCCGCACTTTCGGCATTTCTGCAGATTCCGCACTTCTTCACTTTCGGCATTTCTGCAGATTCCGCACTTCTTCACTTTCGGCATTTCTGCATTTCTTCAAATCGATACGTATGTAATGCTTTTCGTCATTTCTGCACTTCTGCAGTTTCGGCATTTCTGCATTTCTTCAAATCGATACGTATCTATTGCTTTTCGTCATTTCTGCACTTTCCGCACTTCTGCATTTCTGCATTTCTGCATTTCTTCACGGTCACAAGCTATGAACGCAGCCTAACGCTTTGAGCGTCCACCAGCGTTTTGAGCGTACGCCCGCCTGCCTAGTTCAGCTAGTATCTGGCAAAAGGCTGTGCGCTCAGAACGTTAGATCCATATCTATACTTTCAGTCTCTCAAAACCGCACTGCCGCACGTTGCCGTACACTAAAAACGCTAGCGCAAAGTTTGAACACAGCATTAGGCCATTTCGCGTTAGCTGAGCGTCGTCGCATCGCACCAAACTCTGAATATTCTACCATCTTAGCATCGCGAGTATTCGAAGTCCACTCGCAGCTGTTATTCCATTGCTTGGGAACATTTTCGAGACACCATTCGGGATTGATGGGTTTGCAAAGTCAGAATGCAAGATCATTTGGGCGACCTTCCGTTTCGACGTAAGGCGCGGCTAGCTGGGGCGTGCCAATGTCATTGTTTCCCACCTCCGCCCGTTCGGCGATCCCGAACGTTGTTTTTCACGCAGGGCGCATTTGACCATTCTGGCGCGTGGAACTGTGTCGTTTTTTAGTGCTTGCATTCCTCCTGTCAAGACTTTTTGAAGAATTTGCTCATTTTCGCCTTGAACGCACATATGTTTCGAAATTGGTTTCAACTACGCTTGGATTTTAAGGAAATTTCGCGGTTCATCTTCGGTAGTGTGTATATGTGCTTTTGGAGTCTTTATGATCCTAGGAGGCGCTTTGATGGTAATGTGTTTCTCTGCGTTGTTTCAACCATCTTCGGTATGCTACCACAAAAGGAAACTCTTTAGGTGTACATGGGTTTTTTTGTAATTCATGATACGCCATTCTGGACCTGGACAGCAGAACGGAGGAAGCGTCCACCGCCAATTCAACTCGTTGGACCATTACTATTCGTTGTTGGATCCATTTTCGTCGTAGGAGCCATTCTCTATTCAGTAATAACATCTAATGTGAGCTTCAAAAAGTTTAATTG